CCCCTCAGATGGAGAACTGCGCGCAGCCGGCCGTCATCACCAAGGACTTCTGCATGGTCTTCTACTCCCGCGACGCCAAGCTGCCTGCCTCGCGCTCCATCCGCAACCTGTTTGGCAGTGGGAGCCTGCGGGCCTCAGAGAGGTGAGCCCGCCGGGTGGGCAGAGGGGCTGCCTCATCTGGTGCCCAGGCCACGGTGAGAACCAGGCCAGGCTCCGCACTGGGCAGCCTGTCGGGTGACGCGCTCCGGGCCGGCTGGCCCCATGGGAAGGTGGACCTGCCCAGTTCCTGGCCAGCCCCCTGCCCTCGGGTCCCTCTCCCCCGGCCCTGATGTCGGGGTCAGTGAAGGCCACGGGGCACTGGTGGGGACACCGATGTCACGGTGGACGAGCATGAGAGAGCCGGGATCCGCCCACAGGGAGCAGCAGGAGGCCTGAGGTGTCCACTCTGGGGCCTCGTGGGTGGCCTTGGAGTCACACTCACCCGTTGCATGGTGACCTTCCTCCCCAGGGCCACAGGATCTGTGCAGCTGGGACTGCTCACCCCAGCACAGTTAGAGAAACTGGGTGATGTGGGGCTGGGTGGGAAGGGGGCTCTGGGCAGAGCTTCCCAAAGGGCATGTGCTGAGCCGGCGCCTCCTGGAGGCTCGCAGCACTTGGGGGGGTGGGTCGGACCTTCCTGGGGGGTGGGGAGGAATGGCTGAGAATGTTGAGGCAGGGAGGAGGGGCCCTGCCCCAGCAGCAGGACCCGCCGAGGGTGCCGGGTCATCACTGGTCAACTCAGGGAGGCTCCCCACACGCTATCTCGTGGTCCCGTGTCCAGGACACTCTGGGAGAAAGGAGTGTGAGGTCAGGACTGAATGGCCCTGGGCTGGCTGTGACCCTCTCGTCCAGGAGGTCACCTGGTGAGCACAGGCCCCTCTCCATGAGAGTGTTAGTGGGGTGCCCTTGGAAGCATCAGTCCCTGGAAACGGGGGCCTAGAGGAAGGCTGGGATGGGGACTTCAGCACAGGGACTGCATCACAGGGACCCTGGCAGCCAGTACCCTGCACAAGGCCGCCTGGGCAGCCATGGGACTCGTGCCCAGTGCACACCTGTTTGTGATGAGAGTCGGAGCCCGGCTGACACGGCCCCCTTCCCCCCGCAGCAACCGCGTGACGGGCGTGTATGAACTCGGCCTGTGCCGCGTGGCCGACGCAGGCAGCCCAGGTAGGCACCTGCCCTGCCCTCCGGCCCGGGTGTGGGGTGGGGCACTTCGTTGGGAGTCAGGGAATCTGGTCCCCTGGGGAGACTCGGGGGGTCCCTCACCTGTGACCTCCGGAGCTGTTGAGGCTGGAGGACACGGCGAGTGAGAGAGGAAGGGGGAGGAGGTGGCAGCAGTGACCTGGTGGACGCCTGCCGTTTAGCTCCCGGGTCGAGGCTGGCCTGGCTCTGGGGGCCGGGTGGGGCCCGCTGTCTCCGGTGGGTGAGCCCACAGTGGGGCACATATTCCTGGGCATCCCCTCCAGGGATGCAGCGCCGGCGCCGGCGGGTGCTGGATACGTCTGTGGCCTACGTCCGAGGCGAGGAGAACCTGGCAGGCTGGAGGCCGCGGAGTGACAGCCTCATCCTGGACCACCAGTGGGAGCTGGAGAAGCTGAGTCTCCTGCAGGAGGTGAGTGTGTCCGCGCCCGCCAGGCACTACTGGGATGGCACACGTGACCCTCAGACTGCCTGTCACAGGGCAAGGGGCTCATGACAGCACGGCCTCTGGATTAGAGCAGAAGGTTTACTTCCAACCCAACCACAGACTCTCGGGCATGTAGACGGGATGAGAAAGGAACCTGGAAAGAAAATGGTCGGGAAAGCCAGCGTCTGGCCGCCGGGGCTGACCGCTGGCCCAGGACGCATGTGGGAAGCCTGCATTGGAGGCCTGGGTCCACCCTCAGGGCCCCTCCCAAGGCCATGGCTGCAGAGCTCAGGGCCCCATCAGGGACTTGGGGGCTGTGTCCATCTGCTCACTGTGGGCACACGGGGCGCGTGAGGCCGGAGACCGACACGACTCTCAGGGCTGCCGGCTCCGTTTCACACACCGCGGCCCACGGGCGAGGCGGGCCCGCCACTCGGGGAGAGTGCAGAGGTGAGGCCGCACCCCTGCTCTGCCGCGCAGGTGGAGAAGACCAGGCACTACCTGCTGCTGCGAGAGAAGCTGGAGGCCGCCCAGCGGCCCGGCCCCGAGGCGCTGTCCCCCGCCTGCAGCGAGGACTCCGAGGCCCGCAGCTCTTCCAGCGCCTCCTCCCCACTCGCGGCTGAGGGCCGGCCATCGTCCCTGGAGGCTCCCAACGAGAGGCAGCGGGAACTGGCCGTTAAGGTGGGCTGCAGGCAGGCAGGCAGCCACCCTCCTGGCCCTTAACTGCTGCCAGTGACCCGTCCGGACCCCTGGGACTGGGAAGAACGAGGGTCCGCGGAGTTACCTTGCCCCTCGCCCCGACCCCACCCTTTTACAGCCAACTACCCAAGCAGTGACGTGCCCTCTCTTGATTACCTGTGCTGATGGGGAGCTCACCACCTGCATCCAGAACTGGTCCTCTCTGCTGCTGGGTGGCCACGGGGAAGGCCTCCCGCACTTCGAGTGATGCCACCCCCTCCCCCACCCTTGCCCAGGCCCCAGGCCTGCCCTGGGAGGCTTCCACACTCGGCCCCTTAACCTGGGAGGGTGGAGGTGCGGCCCACCTTGACCTGGGTGCCCGGGCCCCTGGGCCAGTCGCCCGTGTCTGGGGCAGAGCCAGGTCCTGGGAGGCTCCTGACCGGGCGTTCGCTCTCCCCGCAGTGCTTACGGCTCCTCACCCACTCCTTCAACAGAGAGTACACCCACAGCCACGTCTGCATCAGCGCCAGCGAGAGCAAGGTGGGCGTGGGGCCGCCGTCGGGGCCCTTGTGGCCGACAGAAGCCCCCATCCCAGTCTGGAGAAGGAAATAAGGGTTTTCTTAGAAGCACACCTCTCACAGCCTAGAAGGGGGCCTCAGAGCCAAGGGCGGGTTTCCCAGGCCCGAGGCTGTGAGCCAGGCCTGTGTCGGGGTCCCTGCCGGGCAGGGAGTGAGGGGCTGGCTGGGTCCAGTCCTGCCCCGGGTCCTCCCTGGCTCCCACTCGTCCCAGTCCCTTGTCCTGCTTGGCCTGGCCCTCGCCCAGCTGCCACTATCCTGGGCTGGTCAAGCCCCCTCCCCTTGGCTGTCCTCCTTTCACCTGGGGACCCGTCCTGGTCTGCAGCCTCGTACCCTGTCCCAAAGCTGGCAGCCTGTGTGCTGCCCTCCACGGAGCCTCTGCCGGCTGCTCCAGGCTTCCCACACCCGGACTTCCCTCCCGGCTCCCTGGCCCCTCACCAGTCTCTCACCCCTGCACACCCCCATGCCCGGCCTCTGTCCTCTGTGCTGGCCTCGCCCTCTGCCCGAGGCTGTCAGGCTGCACGTCCTGAGGGTGGGGCTCAGAGGCTACACTTTCCTTGACCCCCCACCCACTGGTCCCCACTCCATCTTTGCCGCCCTGCAGCCTCAAATCCCCCCTTAAGCAGGGCAGAGCCCAAAGCCCTGGGAGGGGCGGTCAGGGGTGTGGAGGGGCTGGGAGGCGCTGGGGAGGGGCTGGGAGGAGGGTCTGGCCTGCAGTTGGGATGGAGATCACCTTAAACGGAGGTGAAACGCAAGCAAACGTGCAGGCCCCCACCTGCCGAGGCCCCCAGGCCGTCCCTGATCAGGCCCTCTGTCCTCCGCAGCTCTCCGAGATGTCTGTCACCCTGCTCCGGGACCCATCCATGTCCCCTCTGGGGGCGGCCACGCTCACCCCCTCCTCCACCTGTCCCTCTCTGGTCGAAGGGCGGTACGGAGCTGCTGACCTGAGGTAAGTGAGCTCCAGGCTCCCCGAGAAACTTCCGCCTCCCCGAGCTGACCGAAGACAGCAGCCGTGACAGGCACAGGGCAGAGCTGGGCACGAGGGGCCAGGTGTCTGGGGCGGCCATGCACGTGCAGGGCAGGGCCAGGCCACGTGGAAGTATCTGCCTGTGCGGCTGGCGTGGCCCATTCCGAGGTCATTTCCTGCTAAAGCATAAATTTAAAATGCAGTTGTGAATAAAACCAGAATCGGTTCAAAACACTAAACAAAAGCCCCTTTCACGGGCAGCACTCATAAAACAGAGTGGGGAAAACGTGACAAAGACGAGCTTAGAGGACCGCTAAGCCCGCGGTCGGGCGCGGGGGCCTCCGGGCGCCTGCTGAGCAGGGCGTTTGCGACGGACCACCCCTGTTGCTGACCCCACCTGTATTGGGCCCATCAGATTTCGTAACACCTCGGGGGTCCAAAGCTGCTCCATCAAAGAACAGAAAGAAACAAAAAGGCGTGAGGCCCTCTGGGCTGGGACAGGCCTCCCTGGCCACCAGGTCCGTGGCTCCAGGCCTGGCGGCTGCCGCAGGACAACTGCTCCCTCCACGTAGATGGTCCCTGAGGAAGTCACGTCCCTCAGTTTGATCCTGGAGAGAGATGCTGGAGCCGCTCACAGCGGGTG